GTGTGTGTTTGGTTTTGGGAGGAGGTTGCCACCAAGTCATAAAATCATCCCTAAAGAATTTAAAGTTATGATTTTGGTTTACCAGATTTGGGAGGAATTTTTTCAGGAAGTGTGCCTATTGTCAGTTAAAGATTACCACCAGGATCTAGAGGAATCTGGTGAATCCTGACAGCTTTAATCAGAGCAACGTGTGGCAGCCTTAACTGGCAGTCTCCCAGACCCTCAGGGATTTGGAGCCTTTTGACTTCCAGGATCAGAGCGTGACCCCTCCAGGCAGCCATCTGTCAGCAGAAAAAAGCTTAAGTTGTACCCCCTCTGCCACCGCTCACTCTTGTTAAAGCAGCAGCTGGGCCAGAACTCAAAAGGGAATGCATGGGGTGAAAACAATAGATCCAGAGCTGACAGTTGTTTTCTCCATCTTCCCCCTCCCTGCTGTTTGCAGCATCAAGTGCATCTTAGAGAGCCATTTGGAGCAGAAAAAGCTTCCACCTCTGCAGGGACTGGAGGATTTACCAGAGGACATCCTGCTGGGGAAAGGAGCTGATGTATGGAGAGCTGCTGTGGAGTTTAAAAGGAGATAGAAAACCTGGAATAAGATGTATTTATTTGTTTTAAATAAGGGGACCTGATTATAATTACATTTTCCTTTCCGTTGTGTATATATTGCAGCATATTTTAATTGTTCTTTATCTCTTAATTATGTCCTACAGGGTCAGTTAATAAAATTATGAATAAAACTTTGTCTCGTGATTATTTGCAAATGCTCAATTTGAGAAAGTGTTGGTTTAAAAGTCAACCAAACCGTTTGGGAAGACACGCCCCCTATAATCCGTACATTAGGCTGACACTTCTCTGCGACCAATCAGATGAAAGAACACGCAAACGCTGTATCCGTGTCCACCAATGACAGACGGCGGGGGGTGGGGATTTATCCGTGTTGTTACCACAGAGATGATGATACGCGTTATTTGCTCCACTGTCCACGGAGGACTTTCGCTGTTTATCGGAGGATTGTTTTGGAAATAAAAGCCACGTCCGTGGGAGCATACTCCAGATTATCCACCATGATGCCATCCCGTCCGTGAAGTGAGTCTTTCCTCCAGAGGAGAAACTGATATGTTTGGTTTTACGGCCGTTAAGGGAACAGTTAGCTTGAAAGGCTCCCACCAGACTTCATTTAAAAAGCACCGTTTTTAGTACTTTTCTAATAAGACATGTTTGCGCTGTTATCATTTCAACTGAATCTCGAATTACGAAATCACAAATTTTACCCATGATTTAAATATTATCATAACGTTACGGAGCATGTATCCTTTTGTGGTAATATTTAAATTTGGGTTATGTTAACTTGCAAGTGTTGCGTGTAATTCTGTGTTTGATTCAGAGGTAGGCCAAGCAAAAAAGGAAATTAGGCAGGTGCTTAGGGTCTCCCAGAAACGTTTTTACAGAAGTCAGATGCAGTTAAGTATATTTTTATTCAGTACTAATTATACAAAACAAGTTATTGGGTATACTTGCAGCATTTTCAGGACTTGTCCATCTTCCACCATAAAGCTACAGCCTTTTAAGTAGTCCTAAAGCTTATGAAAAGTTAAAACCTACAGTCACAGAAAGTATTTATCTTTTTTGTTAAGATGTTACCAGGGGGAACATTAAAAAAAAAATCTTTGATACATGATCTGCTTTATTAGTGGTTAAATATTGAAGTATTTAATTTTTGACAGTCTCTTTATTCAACCTAAAAATAATGTTTGTTACTGTAGAATATACTAAATCCAGCTGAGAAAACAAAATTACATTCCATTATTTTTTTTTTGATAGGAAACAGTATGGTTGAAGTCTGAAATTGAAATTAGACATAGATTTCTGATGACAAATGTTATGGAGGTATTGGATGACATAAATTTAAAGACTTATGCTTTAGAAGTGCAGTTTTTAAAATCTCTTGATCAAATCAAATACGTTTTTTTTTTGTTGGAGCAAAACATTAATGACATTTTAATTTTTGCTGTTAACATAAATGAAAATTATAGCTGAATAGTCTAAGTATATCTACCAACAGGAACTACTGAAACTGCATCCTGTGATAGTAGGTAAAAAGCTGGTTTTGAGGTGATGTTGCTGCCAGAAACGTCACCGGTCAAGTTTTTATAGCAAGAATACAAAGCAGCAGACCAAAGGAGCATTCTGTTACATAATTTCTGTTTTATCCTCAGCCAGTGTTATTATTTGACCTCCAGAAACAAGAACAGAAATTTTCTTTAAGTGTTATTACATAGATGATGTCAAGTGGCTAATGTGATTAAAATAATATACTTTATGCTCACTTTATTATATCATGTGCTGACTTTTTTTTGTTTGTTTGTTTTGCACTAAGTATGACATAGTATAAATGTTTGAATACTAAATATAAAAGAGACGTTAGCTGAGCTATGATGACTGATGGGCAGCAAAATTTATTGTCATTTAAAATCTTGGAGGCTTTCAAAGCATCTTAAACATGCTTTTAGTTTTAGGACCTCTTTTCACAGCAGCTTGCAGACATGTAGTATGTAGACATGTAGTTAATCTGCAACTCTATTAACTAAATGTTTCTTTACCAAAAACTGTTCCTGTTACCGACTGGGTCAAAGTTTGTAGTTAAGAACTACCAAAAAGTAGCTTTTTAGTAAGCATTATTGACCTTCAGTGGTAGTACACCATAAATACCTTAAGTTATTTAGGTCACAAATCAGATTGTAGATTTATAGCTGACGCAGTAAACTATTTGGAAACGTAACCAGAGGATTCCATGTTCTTCCAGTGGCTGGGAATTTAGTGAGTGGATTTGTTGTTGGGTGTTGCGGGGGGAGCAACAGGTTGCTGTTCTTCAGCGGTTCAACTCTCTGAGTCCTCATGTAAACAACATGCTGAACTGACTTCATCAAACAAGCTGTTAAAATTTAACTCTGAATATTATTTCAGTGCAAGTCAGCAGCAGCAGCAGAAATAGATGATTCTGCAATTATTGGGTGTTTCAGAGGACTAGAGACTAGAGTACTCGTCTTGAATGTCAACTATATGAAAAAAAAAAAAACATACCTTGAGCATCCTCTTCACAGTATAACTCTGAAGATGTTTAGTTATAAATATTAAAAAGATATCTTAATGACCCTTTGGAATTTAAAAAGTATTATTCGCTTGAACTAAACTGAATTGATGAAGCAGTTTGCAAACATTTCATGTTGCTAGATTTATTGTGTAGTTATGAGGAGAATTATACCAGTGTAACAGCTGAAAGACACCTAAACTGGTTAAACTCAAGTTATTAAGACTTTTCTATTGAGCAATTTATTCACCCAAATTTGTTTTTAATCACTATGTTTTTTTATTGATTTAAACTTTACAAACAACAAATTTGATCTCTTAATTCATCCGTAACATTCTGCTTAAACACAACCACCTAAGATCTATAGCTCTATAGATAATCTATCTATTTAACTGTGATGCAACCGTTGACAATTGCGCTTAACTCAAATTTGTCTAACTCTTTTTCTTTCACCTCAGAGCTTTTGCAGACGCAGAGTACTAATTTTAGTCGCAGTAATAGTAGTTTTTATTTACACGCAACAATTTGGAAGGTTACGGACTAGAATCCAGCTGGTCATACGACCTGGCACAGGAGAATAAAGAGTCTCTAGTGATGAAAAGGTGTGTCACCACAGTCACCTTCCGTTTAACTTTTTTAATATTTATGTTCAGGTAGGATTTTGTTACCAAAGCAGAGCAGTAAATGCTAAAATGTCACAACTTTTGAACATTACATTTAACTACTGGTAATCTGCTTGATATGTAGTGTCAGTGCCTCTATTGTTTATTACTTAACGCCCTCCAAAATGCCTTTCTGCAATGTTTTCCAGATTTTAGAAGCATGCATACGACACGCAGCGCCTCGTCTGTCCCGCCGTGTTCTTCTGGTGATGCTGTGGACCTCAGCCTGTTGGGCTCTCGGCTCTCCATATCCAAACGGCCCAGCAGCGCGTCTCCAGGGAAGCACTTCTCTCGGTCGGTGTCGGTGTCTGTGGCCGCTGATGGCAGAGGGAAGCGCAACACGCTGGTGGGCTTCTGCTAAGAACAGTTTGTTTTTGTTTTGGTTTTTATCGACTCCTCCTGGCCATTCCCAACAAAGCTTCTCTACCCGCAGAGCGACACCAACTCCGGGAGCTGCCGTTCCATCAAGAACCTACGGCGATCCAACAGCACCACTCAGGTCAACCAGCAGGCCAACCTTGGTTTAAGGTGAAGACGCACACACACACACACACACACACACACACACACACATATGCACACGTTCTGGATCAGGAGTGTCTATTTTTGAATCAGTTTTTCTTATTTCTCTGAGTCAAACTAGTTTTTTGTCATTGACACAGTGAAGTGTGATCACAACAGGATGTGCAGATTCATGTCTGCTGTGCCTCAGGCTGAAATCCTGTCGAAATCAAATATTTTATGGCGTTAACTTAGAAATATTTTCAAGGAATTTTGCAATATTTCGACTTGCGTATGATGTTAAAGGTGACGTTTTGTTACTCGCAAAGTTGGTCACTATAACTTGAGATTGAATAAGGCTGAGGGAGCAATGTCATAAAATTAAGAAATACCGCCCAACTGCAGAGTTGGCATCAATTAAGCCCAGTTGACTTGACCAGGTTTGACTCAAAACTATGCATTAACGTGAAAAATGCAGGGATTTTTTGCAGGAATTTACACAACTGCTGGAGGGACTGATTGATGTAATTTGGCATCTGGAGTATTAAGGGCCACATAAAAAGCTATGGCGGCCTGGATTTAGCCCCTGGACCTTGAGTTTTGACACGTGCAACAAATCGCAAAATTTGAAGGAATCGCTTTGTGTAATTGTCAGGAGAGAATTTGGACTTTGCAGGTAACACACACAGTCTGTGCGCTGTGATTGTGTCAGACCCTCAGCTCTGTTGTGGAGCTCTTTAGACTGAAGCCTGAGCGACAGCTGGCAGCCCTGAAACTTTGTCGTTTCGGACAATAGGAGTTGTGCTCCTAAGTTATAGCGTGGGGAGAAGTCGGGCGTTTGCTGCTGGGGTCTTGGAGGGTTTCCGGGCCTTCTTTGTTCCGTGTTAGAGAGGGGGGGAGGGCCAGGACTTCTCGGGTCAGGTTACCCCCTCTGCCAGAAGCTGGTAAAAAGAGAAGAGTGTGTTCACGTTCACATTCTATTGTCCGGCAGCTGCCATCAGCCTCCTCCTCTCCCTCTCTCTCTGCTTCAGCTGGAGGAGGGGGCTTTAAATGTAGAGACTCTGAAAATACCCCCCCACAGTCCATGGAGTCTCTTTAGGCTCTCGGCGGGTCACTCAGCGCCCCCCTCCCCGCTGCATCTATCCCTTATCGTCGAGCACAAACTGGAGGAATGTGCTGCCTGAATAGAGGAGTCAGATAGCTTTTCACTGGGCCAGCTGGCTGCGCCCCCCCCCCGCCTCCTCCCGAAGACCCATGAATTCAGTTAAGACAGATTCAGCCAGACTAGGGGGTCGCCCCCCATCTGCTCATCGTGGCCCAAGAGGCTCCAGGTCCTCAGGACCGACATATGGACACATTTACTTGGAATCCATCACAGAGTTTCTTCCGAAGAAGACAGTCAGCTGCAGCACACTGAATTCCAGAAGAACAGAACGGGAGGGGTCCCTTTTATCCAGCTGCCATGACGACGGTTAATCACAAAAAGCTGCTGTGATCCGAGCTGTCAGAAAATCTGCCAGACGAGCTGCAGCAGCTCAGACAAAACCGAAACCCACGTTGGCCTAAAGCTGCCGTGTCATCCTCTTTTAAGGAGTCGCTGAGATTAAATTACATTTGTTCAGCTTCTGGAATAAACGTGCCTGGTTTGTGTGTGTGTGTGTGTGTGTGTGTGTTTTTTTTTTTCTTCTTTTTTTTTCAGTCAGGAGCAGAGTGGGGACTACCTGACTCTGTTCGACAGCGGCTCCAATGGGCGAAAGAAGCTGGCGAGCCTCAGTAAAACCTCCCCAGAGAGAACCACATGGAACATCCTGGTATTTACAATCAAACACACGCTGACAGGTCTGGCGTTGCCAAGTCAGTTCCGCCTCCATGAACAAAACCAGTTAGTTTATGGTGTCAAAATAAAAGATGTCGCCAACTGTTTTCCAGCTATGAAACGCAAACAAAATGTTCTGCCATTTAAAGGACGATCAGCCCAGAATCTTCCCGCCGCATGCGAGCTCCCGCAGCACCGGCAGCATGGACTCTCCGACCAGCCTGAAGAAAAAAGAGCCTGGCATCCCGCTGGCTGCCACCTTCACCGCCAACAACAGGTGGACAACACAAACACACACACACTGCAGCTTGGGTATCTTACTGGCAGTGCTTGGCTCGGGCTTCTTCTCGTGTTTCATAACTGCTGATCACGGCACCCGATAGAGCTGCCTTTAGGAGTGTGCTCCCACACAATCGCACAGTTTTCCTTTTTCAAATAAAAACTTGTTAGTTACATTTTTACAGTCAAAACAACCAAGCAACTTTATTTATCCCAACTCAAGAGTTGACAGAAGAAGAGAAAAGAAAAAGCAAAGAGTCTCATGCAGCCGTTTCAGCATCAGAACAGTTTAAGTTCAGCAAAGACTAAAGAACACTTGTGACATTCATTTAAATATAAAAAGAACTAAAAAGAGGCACAAATCAGTTCCCCTTTCTGTTAATACTTCGTATAGCTCTTCTTTCTTCACTAGTACAGAAGAAGATATCTTCTCTAACTCTTGACAAAGACGAAGCCAATAGAGGGATCTTTGTTTTTGCTGCTCTCATCTCCCACTTTTCTCCAAGGTTTGTCAGAAGACCGAGATTCCTGTGGAAGATGTCTGATTTCATGTCTCGTCAGTAAATTCTTTGCTCGTTTGGATCATCGTCTCGGTTGGACATTCACTGGAGCTTTCTTCTTGGAATGTGTATCAAAGTTGTTTGTTGTGAATTGATGCCTATATAAATGGACCCAGCTGCAAAATAAAAAAAAAAATAAATAAAAAAAAGTAAAAATCTTTATGAGGGGGAGTTAAACTTCCAACAGGGTTTACCCAGCTGCAGAGGGAAAGGCTGTCAAACAATCAGTTTGCATCTTTGCACTTGTCATTGGTTGTTATGGAGACTTGGTGAGTTTGTCTCCCTTGCCGACCTGCTCTCTGCTTGTCAAGGCAAAATCCTTTGTCCTTGTCCACCCACGGTCCACGGTGGCTAACATAAATGAATCGTGTTTATGCCGCGGTGAAACAAAGTCCTAGATTACAGTTTACCAGCAGATAAAGTGGAAGTATTTTAAAACAATATTCCTTGAATTATATCTAAATTTTACTGTTTCTTTTTTTTTTTTTTTTTTTTTTTTTTTTGGGGGCAAAAAAGGACCCGGGGGGAACCAAGACCCCCCCTTTTTACAAAAAAAAAAAAAACGGAA